GATCTCTCCGAAACTCTCTTAGAGTCAATTGAGTTTCTGAGGTCACTACAAAGCACCTTTCAAACATAGCTTTTGTGTGCAGTTTCTTGAAGTTGGAAATAACCTGCTGGTCCATGGGCTGCAGGAGAGGAGTGGTATTAGGAGGCAAAAACTTGACCTTAATGAAGCTCATTTCCGCAGAAAGTCGCTTTGCCACGTCTGAAGGATGACCAGGAGCATTGTCTAATAACAGGAGGCACTTAAGGACTAATTTCTTTTCAATTAGGTAATTTTTCACAGTGGGGGCAAATGCATGGTGTAACCAGTCATAGAAAAAGTCCCTAGTGACCCATGCCTTACTGTTTGCCCTCCACAGCACACACAAATTAGCCTTGAGGACATTGTTTTTCCTGAACACTCTGGGAGTTTCAGAGTGATACACCAATAAAGGCTTCACTTTGCAATCACCACTAGCATTGGCACACATCAACAGAGTAAGCCTGTCTTTCATTGGCTTATGTCCTAGAAGTGCCTTTTCCTCCTGAGTAATGTACATCCTGTTTGGCATTTTCTTCCAAAACAGGCCTGTTTCATCACAATTAAGCACTTGTTCAGGTTTCAGTCCTTCACTGTCTATGTACTCCTTGAATTCCTGCACATATTTTTCAGCCGCTTTGTGGTCCAAACTGGCAGCCTCACCATGCCTTAGCGCACTATGTATGCCACTACGATTCTTAAATCTCTCAAACCAACCTTTGCTGGCCTTAAATTCACTCACATCATCACTAGTTGCAGGCATTTTTCTAATTAAATCGTCATGCAACTTCCTAGCCTTTTCACATATGATCGCTTGAGAGATCCTATCTCCTGCTATCTGTTTTTTGTTTATCCACACCAATAACAGTCTCTCAACATCTTCTATCACTTGTGATCTCTGTTTCAAAAACAAAGTTGCACCTTTGGCAAGAACAGCTTCCTTGATTGCCGTTTTCTTGGCCACAATAGTAGCAATGGTTGATTGGGGTTTTGTGTACAACCTGGCCAGCTCGGAGACACGTACTCCACTTTCATACTTAGCAATGATCTCTTTCTTCATATCCATAGTAATTCTCACTCTTTTTGCTGTAGGGTTGGCACTAGAAGCTTTCTTGGGGCCCATGGTGACTTATTTTGCAGGTGCAATCACTAAAAAGGCTGTGATAATATGATATGTTCCGATTGTATGCTTGGAAGCGACCGCGGTGGCTGGCTTGTAAACACTGGCACCCAAGAAACAAGTGAGGCAGGCTCAGGCTGCATGTGGACGCATCTCAAACGAACCGCGTTGAGCGAGTTTTTTAGCACTAGCCGAGGCAAAATTTTTGCATTAAAATGTATCGCTAGGCGGATTTAACGTTATGCAATGCGTTCGTTAGGTGAGGTTCCACTGTATTTACATTGTTAGTACAACAATGATTAGCAGCGAGTGAGGACTGGTGGAAGTTGGTGTGGCAGGGAGGTAGGTGGGTTGGCTGTAGGCCCAAAGGAAGGACTCTGATCAGCAATGCTAGCTGTGTCATGGACGCATTCAGTAAATAGACTAGGACAGACGACATAATGACAATGATCTCCCTCACATTACTCACCTGCCCTTATACCCACCTATTCCATCCTCATACCCACACCACTCACTCTCACACAAACCTTTTCTTACCCTCTATTTATAAATGAAAAGAAACAGTACTAATGTAAAATACTGGAAGAAAATTCTCTGGAATAAACTGAATATTATGGCTCAGGAATGCATTAAAATTTTTTTATTGTTTGTTATTGAAAAATAGATTTTAAGTACTGAACAACTGACTTACATTGTACAGTACACTGTACAGTATATGTACATGGCATTTTTAGCCCAGGATATCTCAAGAAAGTCAAAAAATGTGTCTAATTTCCAGGTTTCAAGAGGTATAATGTGCTGAATTAATTGTAATATCATAAGATTTCCTTGTACATAAAAGAAATAAGGGAAAACAATTATTTGTGTCAATTCATATTGCACAGTAGACTCTCGATATAATGGACTTTCAAAATTATGGACAAAATCCACTGATTAAATTTGTAATTACATATAACTCCTTTGTTTTTACATTTATGTCTTGCAATATATTTTTAAATTGTTTTCCATGGGGAAGTGGAATAGAATTCTTCCTCTGTAAGCCATGCGTGTCATAAGAGGCGACTAAAATGCAAGGAGCTAGTAACCCCTTCTCCTGTCTATATATATTACTAAATTTAAAAGGAGAAACGTTTGTTTTTCCTTTTGGGCCACCCTGCCTCGGTGGGATACAGCCGGTTTGTTGAACGAAGAAGATTTTTAAATTGTGTGTGCAGTAATATATTAAATATACTTTAATATATATTTCTGCTATTCTTTAATATTATTCTGATTTAACGGACACTTGGACAGTCATCCTTCAATAATATTAGTCCAGTATATCAAAGGTTCATTGTATATTCCATGTGGGGCTATGTCATGCCATGTATCTTCCCATGTTTTAAGCACAAAACACCTGAAATACATAGTATCATAAGAAACTAGTGTACATAGTGCCAGACATAAAAAAAAAATTTGCTTTCGAAACAAAAGAAAAAATGCTACTTGGTAGCATCACGATAATATTGCTGACAGCAAGACAATTTTTGCCAACTTCAACATGCTATAAAATAAAGTTATTATTAAATTGCCTTTTCTTTGTCTTATTCTATTCAGAAAAATGTGCTCTTTTATTCCATAAGAATTATTTTTTCTCAAATTCTGCCACACGATTAATGTAGATGTAAAAGATAAAATACAAAAATTCAGACATGTGAAATTTACTATTATCCACAACTTAGCCCTTTCACTGTCTAGACCCCCAAAATTAATATTGCTCCCAGTATCCACTTACAAAAAAAAATCTTCTGAAATGGTAAAGAATCTTTTCTTGAAAGTAATGACACCAAAAGTACGAAATCTGATGGGAAACTTATGGAATTAGGCAAGTGCAAAATTAGTGGTCTAAGCACAATTTATGACTGGGAATTTTGCCAACTTTAAGTCAATTCCATTGCTCCTTTCAACCAATTTCTTAACTATTTCGCTAGAATGACTTGCATTCTATCGATTGAGCAGAAGAAACTGCCCATTCAACTATTACAACTACCCTATAAAGTTCAAAGTTTAGTAATTTGGCCAATTTTACATAAAATAAAGAAAACACCAATTTATATAGAGTCCCAAATAAACAATGTAGATATTCCTGGCACTAAACAATTTTCTTGTTGATATTCCTGGCACTAAAATATTTTCTATGTTCATTAATCACATTCCCATTTCTCTCCTATATTATACTTGCCTTCAAATTCAAATTCATTTATTTATTTAGAAGTAATACATTGCAGTTATGTATTTACAATAATGGGTTGCATTATGGGCCGACTTAATTTAATGGCTTACTATGTACTTAACATTAAAGAAATTTATCATAGTTGTACAATACTTCTATTAGTTATAAATGAATCTAATTTATATAAACCAAAGGATATATTCATATTTTCAAAAATGGTTTTTATGGAGCATGATTCAATTATATTCTTGTCGACAATGGACAACAGATTCTAAAGTAATTATTGTAATTATATTATGGGAATATAACATTGTGATTTGCTGAAAGTATAAGAATGCTACAATTTCTACTTCCAATACTGTTTTTGGGTAGGTATTTATACCACTACGTAGTATTAGTCAATGTATGAGCTTGGTCGTCTAGTCTTGAAGTTAAGATTTAGGCAATTTATTGGTAAAATTGAGTCTAGGGTGAGTAAGTGGCTTTTGAGAAAAGTCTTAAATTGAATTTCAGACCGGGTTTCTTTAGTATTTTCTGGTAATGAATTCCAAATTTTGGGGCCCTTTATGTGCATAGAGTTTTTACATAGTGTGATATGGACACAGGGGTACATCAAAAAGAGATCTGTGTCTTGTGTTATGGTCGTGTGTCCTGTTACGGTTGGTGAGGAGAAGTTTGAGTGGAGGGTTTATGTTTGCGTGTGTTGTTGTATGTATGTAGTAGCCGCATGAATAAGTATGGATTTACTCTATTTCCCGGATGATAAAATATAACCAAGAATGATTAGCCATGGTTTATGGTGTCCCAATAATTGAATCAGACCTATTAAAAACCCATAAAACAGACTAAGGGTGTAGGAGGGCCCTAGCCATCCTCAGAAAAATTAGTCAAAATCGAATATTTCTGCTATTCTGGGCCCTAGTTAAAGCTTCTTTCAGTCCTGAAACCAAGCAAAATCATCTCTATTTCAGTAGTATGTCCTCCTTTCTATCAAATGATACCATGAAATAGCTAATATAGCCATAAAAATCATCCTAGAAAACAACTCGATTCAGTATTTAAAATCAAACACATTGTCAGATTTTGGCTTTTCCCATCATGCACCACAGGATTTTTTGTACTGTGCACACTCACCGCGAAGACCCATTCTCTCACATCTATGCCAAAATTTACTGCTCACAACTTATCTGAGTGAGCTGAGCTCATGTAGAGCTATGTGAGGGGACACTAGTCTAAATGACAGCCACTGCAAGGGTTAAGACTCGCAAGTTTCTTCGAATGTATTGAAATTTTAAAAACTTCATATTTCTATTGCTGGGAAATATGCTCTATCATGAGAATAGTGAAAATTTATTTAAAACTGTGATGAATTAATTTTAAATTCTTAAAAATAAACATAAGCATTTAATTGTGAAAAAAATAAAAAACTGGATGGGCAGAAACATCTGAGGATTCATATGAAATTAAATAGTTATGAGAACTTTGCCATTACAGTTATGATGTCCAAACCCACCAAAATTAACTCTAGCTAAAGGTTCTATAATACTATACTGCAGAGCTGTATGAACCTTGTGGGTTTAGTGCTTAGTTATGATTATAATAATAATTATGTAATAATATACAACAATTAAGGTGCAGGATAATGAAATGACTTACTACCTGTGTGGTGCTCATCATGGATAATGTGAGTAGGCGGAGTAGTGTTAAGCACAGTTAGAGTGGGACTAAGGATGATACCCTGGGCTTTCAGGGCCTCTAGCTTCCGATATAAAGTTTCACGTTGCTGTTGGATATCTTCTTGTTCACAACGTAACTGCTCCTGAGGGTGGATAGGAAAATAATGTATTGAACGATATTTTATAAATTTACTAAGTTAAAGTATCTTGCATACACTGAACCTTCGATTTAACACTAACAAGGGGAAAGAGGGTGGCTGGTAATGATGAGTGTAGTCAACAGAGATGCAATTGCTTCACCATTATTTTAATAATGAACAAGTCTGTAACCAACAGACTTTGACCACTGTTTCTGAAGCAACTGACCATGAATTTTGTCCAGCATGTACAAAGTCTGTTAAATCGAGGGTGTACTGTAACTACAGTTCAACTGCATTTTTGCAGCTGAGGTAAACCTCACAACACACAATTTTGTGTATTATATTAAAAATAAATGTATTTTCCTCTCCTTTTCAATGGGAAGAATAAGTAGTCATAGTTGTATACCAAGGAAAGAGATACTGAAAGTATATTAGAAGGTTCTCCACAGAATGGTACTACAGAACAATGGAACAGGTTACAAATGGAAGAATTAGGTATGTACTACAATCACAGAAAATTTAAAAAAAAAAAAAATGTTGAACAAGAGTTACAAGTATAGCTTTGCTCCTGTAGCTACAAGGAGGAATGCAGCACTGTATGACCCTTGTGGGTTTAACACCTAGTTCTGATTGTATTATTATTATTACGAGGAGGAACAGTAATTATCAAGTACACAGGAGCCACTCGTACATGCCTATCATTCCCTTTAAACACAAGCAGAATACACAAGTTGCTTATGACAACCATTAGACACATCCTGTCACAAAAAAGTAAACTACTCTGTATTTATTTTTCATGAATTTCATTTTGATTAGTGCAAGTTACAGGAAAAGATGCACCTGGTGGAAGTGTTACTTGAAGCATTCATTAGTTACAGGTCCTTAAGTGATTTGGCCCATTACAGTTTGACTAAAATAATTTGTACCGAAGTTGAACAGGGAATCCACTATGATGAAAATGTTCAAGCATGTGTGAGCAGGTCTTCTTCAGCATGTCATCTGGCCAGAGTAAACTGGGAGATCTTTTGCATAGTTAATTTGTCTGTTGCAAAGCATAAAGTGATTATATAATACAGGCTAGATGAAGTCACTTTCTCAGGGCATAAAGTAGTCAGAGTACATACAATGCCAACTATGTCAGTGCAAGTCATCCAAAATGTTGAGAGTGGAGCCCTCTCAAGCTGCAAAACATTTAGATATGAAGTGAATAAGTGCAGAATTTTGATACATGATTCATTCTTCAATGCAGCACTGTGCTGCATAATGTGCTCTGATGAAACTCATACACTAAGTGAACTGGGTCATTCGACTCCAAAAGATCTTCAGTGTGGGTTGGCTTAAAGCTAACGTGTAAAACCATTTTATCATTAACCTCAGTGCTCCATACATCAGTCTATGCAGGGTATTTATTTGTACTGTTTTCCTTTCAAGACTCTGTTGACTAATTACTAAATAATAATAAATGCTAGTTAATGAAACTATTCATTTTCAAACAAATATCTTGCCAACCATTGACAAAGCTGCAGAATGGTTGAAAGTCAGCCATCATTAATACAATGCTTCCTTTCTTTTCTACTGAACTTCACTATATTACACAAGGATTATCTAAAGGAACACTGTCACATAACTCATTGTCACTGCTTCTCTACAATAAGAGTGAAAGAATCACCAAAATAACACCTCAGCATTTATTCATGTATCACAAAGAAAAAACTTTTAATATTTCTTTCTTTTTTTTCAACAAGTCACAGGTCAAGCAAAGCTTGTTTACCCATAACACTATCCATAACATGAGTTGTGCAAATTTCTCATCATGTGATACATGTGTTATTAGTGTTATGGTTTCTGCAAACAGAAGAAAAATAGGAAGTTTTCTGAATGATTAATAACCAAAGAAAGACAAGTTGTGTGGCATGTCTAGAAAGTGACATACAGATACTCGGACATTTTTCTGATAAATAAGCATATCAGTTTTTTAATACAGTAAAGGGTGGCATGACGAGTAACACACAAACAGATATTTTTGTGTCTGGAGTCAATGAAGTTTATTAACCTCACCTATGTCACTACTGTACATCCTGGCCTGTTTAAGATGCTTTTTACCTTTAGTGTCGTATGTGTGTGTGTGTGTGTGTGTGTGTGTGTGTGTGTGTGTGTGTGTGTGAAAGTTCTGCTATGCTTCATTCAAGTATACCAACATTCTGAGAATCTTCTAGTATCTAACCTCACACCAGACATCCTTGCCTTGCTTATATGTCATAGGTTGTCTCTGATTTTGGGTGGACATGTTGCTGTTGTCTCTGGTCTATTTTTTCACTTCTGAGTGTTGTAGTACATCTCTAGTGATGAGTCAGTGCATGTACTGGTGTTCTTGTGAGTTTTATCTCAAGTCTTGTTGATTACTGCAGGATGTTCCTGTCATATCTTGCTGTCTAGAGGTTGGCTCTAGATCTTTGATAATATCGGTTATCTGTCACAGTCAGGGCACATTATATTGCCTAGTCTTGTTTGGTCACTGTCACTGTTCCATATTTGTTCTTGTTGGTCAAGGTGTTGGCTACTGTTTCAGAATGTATTTATTTTGTATATGCTATTTAGGTTGTAGTGCATATTTTTGATCACATGTACATATTCATATACGTAACTGTATAAAATACGTATCATTTATGTTCCCTTACAGTGTACAAAGTCAGCACAATCATAAACTTGTAAATAAGTTGCAATTACCTTGGACTGATCTATTATTTGATTATAAAGTAAAGCACTGTTTTTGTTCTGAAAGCACTTGAATATTGTTATTTTATTACGATACGTACTTCCCGTACACCAAAAATAAATATGTAGTTAAGTAACTTGCTGATAGATATTGATAATTGATAATTATAAACTTCAGGTTCATATGTTTAATGGTAAAATTGACAGTGAGTTAAATATCTGCAATCTTATTATGATCTGCATACAGGTCTGTCATTGTAAATCAGATTGTAGTATCCCCTCCAATGGCACAGGTATAAATTACATAATACAAGGTGGCTTCTTTCATATGCGAGTCCTCAAGTCCTTTTTCCCAGGATGATTCACAAATTGGCTAACACCCAGGTACTTCTTTACTACTATGAACAGAGGCAGCAGATATAAGATTTGTCTGTTCATTCTGACTCACACTGTGAGTGAACCCGGATCTTTTCAGTTGTAAGCTGAACATTTTACCACTGAGCTATTAGTCACCCTATATTCATGAAATCTTATGTGGTTATCATGTAATGTTTCACCCACATAATATTTGTATTATCAATGTCAGGAAAACAATACCTGTGCCACTGGTATACAGTAGACCCTCATATTACACGGTAGTTACATTCCTGAAAATGTTGTGTTAGATAAATCCTTGTTATATAAACTGAAGAACTTATGGGAAAAATAGGATTACATTCCTAGGACTCCCCCAAAAGCCAAACAACTTATTTTAGACATCCAGATCTTACAAAAATAAAAATGATAATGTTGTTTTTGTTGCTTAAAACTACAAATGCAACAGAAATATTATTATTTACTTTAAATTGTGGTTGCTGGTGTATGTCAGTGATTGTGAAGAGAGTGGAGATGCATGGTGTGGCCCTACTGGGCTAAGGTGGATGGTTGTTGGTAGAAGTGGATGGCTGAGGTTCTGGTACTAAAGTTGATGGTTGTATTGCAGTGTGCATAAATTCTGTAATGGATCTCTGGGTTCTTTTATCCTGCAGTACATTATACATTATTCCAGAAGCTTGGTACTGCCAGGTTGGAGTCAAGAATCCATTGATGCAACTAGTTTTTTCATCACTTTTCTTGTGTAGTTACACTTGAATGACTTAACTCCTCGATCCAGTGGTTATATTAAAGATGTTGTATTTGGAGGTAAAAATACAACTTTTACATGTGCAGTCACATCCAGCAAAGCTTCTGGATGAGTATGGGAATTATCAAGAATGAAGAGATCCTTCAAATTCAAATTCCTTTATTTCAATGAATGCAAGGTTCTTGCTGTGCAGGTAAAACTTGACTTCAGGAATAATGTGAAGCTTAAACCAGTCAATAAATATTTCCTCTGACATCCACGCTGACTGGTTTGACCTCCAAATTACTGGTAAGGTGTTTTTTCTACACCTTTCAAAGTATGAGGATTATTAGAGCAGTAAATAACCATCCATAAGCTTACACTTGAAATCACCTGACGATTACCGCAAAAGAGCAAGGTGAAGCGATCCTTTGCTGCCTTGAAGCCTGGTGCAGCCCTGCGGAGACAGTGGTCTCACCCACAGCCAGGCAGTGGCCTGAGCTAGGGAAATATCCCGTGGGCTATGCTCCAAATTTTTTCCCTTCCCGCAAACCGAACCATGTTAAGTTAATTTTACGAAGTGTTGTATAAAATTATGCCGCAATTTTTCAATAGTGTAATAACCAAAACGTGCCAAATAAATTCGTGTAATATGAGGGTCTACTATACATTATATGTGACCTTATCCTCTGAAGAATTTTAAAAAGCTCACTTGCATAAAACTTTGTCCAACAAAGCATAGCCTTGCAAACTACCTATTTTTGTGTGTAGTATGCAATTCATGCTATAATGAATGTTGCTAAGTTTCACGTTTGTGTAAAGAGGAATTCTCAAGATATCATCCAGAAATGAAACAGCAGAGAAAATAAATTAGGAATGCTAAACTACAAATTACTCTTTTAATTCACACTTAATACTAATAGACTAATCATAATGTGTTGTTAAGTAAAAAATACATTAAAATAAAGTTAAAAAAATAATCACTACTAGTTCATGTGATATACTGTAATCGCTTGAGTTTTGCACTGTCTAATACTTATATTTGTATGTTATGTTCAGAAACTACTGTTTCCACTTATAAAAACTTTTTTCATACACTATATTAAGTAAAAATATACTTGCCTGTTTCCTTTGAATTTCTATTTTCTTTTCAGAAATCCATTTTTCTTGAGCATCTCTTTCTTTTGTCCACTGCGCTCGTTCATGACTTATTTGCTCTTGGATGTTACGAAGTTCCTCTAATTTTTGAGAATGCCGAAAACGACCATCTACTGATGTACCACCAACTACTAATTTTGATCTCAATCTGTAATAAAAAAGGGTGTCAAAGAAGGCAATGAGTCAAGGAAGGCAATGAGTAAAGAACACAGTGAGTAAAAGAGGCATTGAGTAAAGGGAGGCAGCAAGTGACATGGTGACTAGTCCAGGAAACCCACTCCTGGAAACCCAGCTAACCCACCCCACTGTCCTCCCCCTTGGCCAAGGCTGAGGCATCCCTCCATGGCTCCCAGGCTACCCACCCACCATGCTTCACCGACAACCCTCCTTCCCCAGCAAGCCAACAGCTCATGTTCTAAAAGAGCATAATAATAAATCTACAGTTCTTGACCAACCTCTTCAAAAAAAATCTGAGACTTCACATTTTTTTTTTCAACAAAACGGCCGTATCCCACCAAGGCAGGGTGGCCCAAGAAGAAAAACGACAGTTTTTCTTTTTAAATTTAGTAATTTGTACAGGAGAAGGGGTTACTAGCCCCTTGCTCTGGGCATTTTAGTCGCCTCTTACAACACGCATGGTTTACAGAGGAAGAATTCTATTCCACTTCACCATGGAGATAAGAGGAAATAAACAAAAACAAGAACTAGAAAGAAAATAGAAGAAAACCCAGAGGGGTATGTATATATATGCTTGTCCATGTATGTGTAGTGTGACCTAAGTGTAAGAAGAAGTAGCAAGACACCTGAAATCTTGCATGTTTATGAGACAGAAAAAAAGACACCAGCAATCCTACCATCATGTAAAACATTACAGGTTTCCATTTTACACTAACTTGGCAGGACAGTAGTACCTCCCTGGGTGGTTGCTGTCTACCAATCTACTACCTAGGATAATATATCTTTCTTCTTTCAACACACCGGCCATATTCCACCAAGGCGGGGTGGCCCAAAAGAAAAAACAAAAGTTTCTCCTTTTACATTTAGTAATATATACAGGAGAAGGGGTTACCAGCCCCTTACTCCTGGCATTTTAGTTGCCTCTTACAACACGCATGGCTTATGGAGGAAGAATTCTGTTCCACTTCCCCATGGAGGTAAGAGGAAATAAACAAGAACAAGAACTAGAAAGAAAATAAAAGAAAACCCAGAGGGGTGTGTATATATATATGTTTGTACATGTATGTGTAGTGTGACCTAATGTAAGTAGAAGTAGCAAGACGTACCTGAAATCTTGCAATCCTACCATCGTGTAAAACAATTACAGGCTTCCATTTTACACTCACTTGGCAGGACGGTAGTACCTCGCTGGGCAGTTGGTCTACCAACCTACTACCTAGAATATATATATATTTTTTTTCTTTTTTCAACAAACCGGCCGTATCCCACCAAGGCAGGGTGGCCCAAAAAGAAAAACAAAAGTTTCTCTTTTTAAATTTAGTAATTTAAACAGGAAAAGGGGTTACTAGCCCCTTGCTCCTGGCATTTTAGTCGCCTCTTACAACACGCATAGCTTACGGAGGAAGAATTCTGTCCCACTTCCCCATGGAGATAAGAGGAAATAAACAAGAACAAGAACTAGTAAGAAAATAGAAGAAAACCCATAGGGGTGTGTATATATATATACTTGTACATGTATGTGTAGTGTGACCTAAGTGTAAGTAGAAGTAGCAAGACGTACCTGAAACCTTGCATGTTCATGAGACAGAAAAATGGACACCAGCAATCCTACCATCATGTAAAACAATTACAGGCTTCCATTTTACACTCACTTGGCAGGACGGTAGTACCTCCCTGGGCAGTTGCTGTCTACCAACCTACTACCTAGGATATATATATATATATATTTTTTTCCTTTCAACAAGTTGGCCGTCTCCACCGAGGCAGGGTGATTCAAAAAAGAAAGAAAATCCCCAAAAAGAAAATACTTTCATCATCATTCAACACTTTCACCTCACTCACACATAATCACTGTTTTTGCAGAGGTGCTCAGAACACAACAGTTTAGAAGCATATACCTATAAAGATACACAACATATCCCTCCAAACTGCCAATATCCCAAACCCCTCCTTTTGAGTGCAGGCATTGTACTTCCCATTTCCAGGACTCGAGTCCGGCTATATAAAAATAACCGGTTTCCCTGAATTCCTTCACTAAATATTACCCTGCTCACACTCCAACAGATCGTCAGGTCCCAAATACCATTCGTCTCCATTCACTCCTATCTAACACGCTCACGCACGCTTGCTGGAAGTCCAAGCCCCTCGCCCACAAAATCTCCTTTACCCCCTCCCTCCAACCTTTTCGAGGACGACCCCTACCCCACCTTCCTTCCCCTACAGATTTATACGCTCTCCATGTCATTCTACTTTGATCCATTCCCTCTAAATGACCAAACCACCTCCGCAACCCCTCTTCAGCCCTATGACTAATACTTTTATTAACTCCACACCTTCTCCTAATTTCCACACTCCAAATTTTCTGCATAATATTTACACCACACATTGCCCTTAGACAGGACATCTCCCCTACCCCACCTTCCTTCCCCTACAGATTTATACGCTCTCCATGTCATTCTACTTTGATCCATTCTCTCTAAATGACCAGACCACCTCAACAACCCCTCTTTAGCCCTCTGACTTATACTTTTATTAACTCCACACCTTCTCCTAATTTCCACACTCCGAATTCTCTGCATAATATTTACGTCACACACTGCCCTTAGGCAGGACATCTCTACTGCCTCCAGACGCCTCCTCGCTGCAGCATTTACAAGCAACCCAACAATGAAATTTCCATCATTGTCTTTTTATCACATATTTCCTTCCAAAATTTTCTATAATAATATAATAAATCTGTTGGTTTTACAAAAAATTGCAAATAATGAAAAATTAATCAGACACCTACAAGAAGCAATAATACTGAATATGTAAGACTTCCAGCAAGCGTGCGTGAGCGTGTTAGATAGGAGTGAATGGAGATGAATGGTACTTGGGACCTGACGATCTGTTGGAGTGTGAGCAGGGTAATATTTAGTGAAGGGATTCAGGGAAACCAGTTATTTTCATATAGTCGGACTTGAGTCCTGGAAATGGGAAGTACAATGCCTGCACTTTAAAGGAGGGGTTTGGGATATTGGCAGTTTGGAGGGATATGTTGTGTATCTTTATATGTGTATGCTTCTAGACTGTTGTATTCTGAGCACCTCTGCAAAAACAGTGATAATGTGCGAGTGTGGTGAAAGTGTTGAATGATGATGAAAGTATTTTCTTTTTGGGGATTTTCTTTCTTTTTTTGGGTCACCCTGCCTCGGTGGGAGACGGCCGACTTGTTGAAAAAAAAAAAAAAAAAAAAAATGTAAGGCATCAGTAAAATAAATTCTACTCACATATCATATTGTGTTAGATGATGTTGGCTCAGTACCAGGGAGATTTGTAGCCAATTTATGAGTTTGGCTGCCATGTCCTGCTGTTGCTGCTGGGTAACTGAGTCACCTGACAATGAAGAGACAATACTCAGATTATCTTGTGAAGTACGAACTGCCAGTGTAGTGCCAGAGGGGCGGCGGTTCTTGAGGCTCTCTATAACATCACTCTCAGCAGTGCCAGCTGATGTTAGAGACATACGGCTGTCTTTCTTCTTTTTGCCACCTGATTCTGTTAGTGCATAAAAATATTAATTTTGGTATATGAACTCTCAATCAATTAAGCAACAGAAAGATGTACATCAGTAAATAACATATTTATTATTTGTCTTCTTCACCTTTGTTTTGTATGCCTTCTACATGAACAGTACAAGCAAAATCTTCCCTTAATATCACTTAGTAACTGTGCTCATATAGGTTGGATAATCAACAAGCACAGTATAGTATAGATGGGCATGTTGCCCAAGGAAGCAGACAAAAAAGAATATTACAATTTTGAAGAGTGAAATTAAGTGATAGATGTGTGGGAAATAACAATACTGGTTAAATGGAAACTCTGAGTGTGAATGTATGCCCTACTGCTAAGTAATGCTGCAGAATGTGAATTATGAACATACTAATTAATAATCATAAAATAAAAGGAAATGACTACAGGGTAAATAGATTTGGATACAAACAAGTATAAATACTACAAACAATTCATCTTCTGTTACTTACGTTTTGCAGTATGCCCTGACGCATCTTTGTTTGGATTATCAAAGCCTCCAAAGGTTTCTGCTCTTTTAGGTAAACTTGGGGACACGTAGGCTTCACTTTGGTGTTCTCCAACAGAACTGACTGAACGAGCAAGATTTGTACCCCAACCACAAGCACCAGTTACTAATCTCAGTGCTTCCTGCAAAAAAAATTATTTATAAATACAGTGTTCCTTTGTACTTTATAACAAATATGTATAATTTTGCACATTGTCATAAAGGCCAAGTTTTTTTTTTTTTTTTTAACAAGTCGGCCGTCCCCACTGAGGCAGGGTGAACCAAAGAGAAAGAAAATCCCCAAAAAGAAAATACTTTCATCATCATTCAACACTTTCACCTCACTCACACATAATCACTGTTTTTGCAGAGGTGCTCAGAATACAACAGTTTAGAAGTATATACGTATAAAAATACACAATATATCTCTCCAAACTGCCAATATCCCAAACCCCTCCTTTAGAGTGCAGGCACTGTACTTCCCATTTCCAGGACTCAAGTCCAATTATATAAAATAACTGGTTTCCCTGAATCCCTTCACTAAATATTACCCTGCTCACACTCCAAGGCCAAGTGTCTGCTACATAAAATATTGATGAGAAATTTCAGTAAAGATTTCACTGAAATTATAAAAACACATTCCTTACAATGAGTGAGTTTATCTGGAGATCCCGAGCAGCATTATAATCTAGTTGGTTCTCATCAAGTAATGCTCGATATTGTGTAGTGGGTGGGAGCTCATCATGTCCTAAGAGTTCCAGAAGTTCTGTCACCAGATTAATTTTGTCTTCACATACTCTTGCAAGCTCCTTATCCTTGTGCTGTAGGATGCCTGAAATACACATACATTACAGGGATAAATGAAGGAACATGGGGGTATAGTGGATACCTAGTCAACTGATCCTTGATTAAACCATGGCATTTATATCACCGGATCCCGTGTTTTGGACCATGTAGGTGCACTGTACTTTGTCTCCTGACTCACTCCCATTTGTGTCAACATGTCCTTCACCCATTTTTTCAACTCTTCCCTTCTCTTGACTTGAGTATCTTCATTCCTTTCAGCTACCCCAGAAGCTATGACTTATGTTTTTCTCTCTATTTCCCTCATTTTCAGTGTCCATTTCTTTATTTATTGCCACCATCCTTCATTAGCAGATCAATGTAGCTGTATTCCCCTTCCTCTTTACCTTTCCCTAGTTTCTTTTTAACTTCTCTCTAAGCTATTCTATTCCACTTTTCAATTCTGTCTCCTTTTTTCTACCTTCTCCATTTTCTCAACTATCACTGGCTATTCCCTTCTAAGTCTTTCCTCCAATAAATGTCTGCCTTCCTCTCTCATCTAACACCTCTATGATCTGTTTTTCAAGCCTCTTGATTATGCACTATGTCTTCTTGTCCACCATTCACTTATAACATTTACCTGTAATTCATCTTTTATAGTATATATACAAAGAAACAAATATTTTTTTTATATTTAATATTTGAACTCATGATCAGTTTCACACAGTGTGAGCTAATAAGCATACTGTACAATAATATGTCAAATACCCACAAATATGCTGTCTTACCAATTAATTCCTTGATTTTTTCATTGTTAGCCTCCTGCAACTTTGAACATTCACCAGAGTTGTCACCCACATCATCTTCGTCTGGGCAATTCTCAATAGCTTCTCTGATGATCAACATAAAAATATATATAAAAATTATTTCTGAGGAATAAATAAATACATAAACATATATTTTTTAATTATATATGTGTGGACCATCGATGAATTTGGAAGGAAATGTAAAAGAAGGAAATTAAAAGTGAGCATAGAAAAGAGAAAGGTGGTGAGGTGGTGATAGATGGAATATCAGAAGAAGGGAATATGGAGGAAGTGGATGCATTTAGATATTTGGAATTGGATATGTCAGCAGATGAGTCTACGAAAGACAAGGTAAACCACAGAATACATAGGGGAAAGAGGTAGGTGGTATGTTCAGACATCTGGAAAAAAAGTTTATCTACCAAGGCAAAACAAAAAAAAAAATGTACCAGAATACAGTGGTAGCAGCACTTTTATATTGGTGCAAGGCATGGGTTTTAAATGCTGCAATAAGGAGGCTAGAGACAGTGGACATGTCATGTTTCAGAGCAATGTGTGGTTTGAATATTAAGCAAATAATTTGGAGTGCAGAAATTAAAAAGCAATTGGAGTCACAAAGGGTATAATTCAGAGGGCTGATGAGGGATTGTTAAGGTGGTTTGCATATAAAGAGAAGACTGAAAGGGATATAATGAAAATGAGTGTGTATAAATCTGGGATGGAAGGAAGGAGGGGTAGAGATTGTCCCAGCAACAATTGGAAGGTGGTGGTAAAACGAGCTTCTAGTTTTAGGGGCTTGAGCATCCAGCAGGCTTGTGTAAGCATATTAGATAGGAGTGAATGAAGACAAGCAGTTTTAAATGAATGTACTTTTGGAGTGTGAGCAAAGCAATTTTATGAAGGGATTCATAAAATTGTGACTAATGACTAAGTGACTAGTGACTAATGCTAAACATTAGTCACTAGACATGCAGTAGTGACGTAAGTGGAGCTTACTGCCCCCATCCCCCCGCCACTGGATTTCATGGGGGTGACACCAAAGATGCCGCTCCGGGTGACACCAAAGATTCCGCCCCGGGTGACACCAACCCAAGTGATGTCACTGCTTCAATGTAAACACCTGATCTACACATCCCCTACCCATTCTAAAGCCTCCTTGCTCATCTGCAATCCTGCTCTCTGTCTTACCTCTAATTCTTTAAATAATAACCCTACCATACACTTTACCTGGTATACTCAGTAAACTTATTCCCCTATAATTTTTACTATTTCTTCTGTCTCCCCTTCCCTTAATATACACGCTCTCTGCCAATCCCTAGGTACCTTCTCCCCTTTCATACACTTATTAAACAAAAATACCAACCACTCCAACACTATATCTCCCCCTGCTCTGAACATTTCTGTCATGATTCTATCTATTCCAGCTGCTTTACCCCCTTTCATTCTACATGATGCCTCATGCACCTCCCCCACACTCACATCCTGCTCTCCTTCACTCCTATAAAATGTTATGCCTCCCTGGCCAATGCATGAAATTACTGCCTCCCTTTCTTCATAGACAAAAACCCTTTGACTGTTGTGACCCCAAATCCTTTGTGTCGATCCTCTGTGTCACAAAATTTTCGAAAAAAAAAATTTATTTTTTCTTATGAAATGATAAGAGAATCTTGTCCCAATGTTAATGACACCAAGAGTACGAAATTTGATGGAAAACTTATGGAATTACGTTCTCTCGAAGTTAGTGATCTCAGCGATGTTTACGTATCAGTGATTTTACCCACCTTGAGCCCTATTTTCGGCCAATTCCATTGTTCCAGTCAACCAAACTCATAGCTATTTCTTTAGAACAACATTTGTTCTATCGACTGAGTACAAGAAACCTCCCATTTACCAATTTCAACTACCCAATAAAGTGGTCAGAAATTGGCAATTTGGCCAATTTCATGCAAATTAAAAAAAGATGCCAATTTCAAAATTGGGTCCAGAATGAACAATGCAGACATTCTTGGCATTAAAATAACATTTTCTCTGCTCATGAGTCACATCTCTAGACCCCTCTTATATTACTCTTGCTTTCTATTTTGAATTTTTATTCACACAAAAAATAAAAGATTTACTGTTATGCAGACTAATGCATTGTTGTAATAATTGTATAAATAATGTCAACCCATTTGTGACTAAATACCAGAATGGCTAATTGGAGACTTATTGGACAATGTTGCCATTTGTTTACTCTTGAACATCGGCAAACATCGAACATTTCCGCTACTTTGAGCTCAATTTCGAAATCCTTTTCATCGTGAAAGCAATCAAAATCATATGTATTTCTGTAATATGTCTTCCATTCTATCAAATGAGATCAAGAAAATGAGAATACAATCATAAATACTATACGAAAATACACCTCAAAGTCAGCATTTTAATCCAAAAACAAGGTCAGAGTTTTTTTTCTCATTATGTACTGCATGTTGCAGGATTTTTTTATACTGCACACACTGACCACACAGACCCATTCTCTCACATGTGGGCCTACCAGCTTTCTCCCACTTGATCTGAAGCCGCTAGAATTTTTGAGTATAAATACGTCAAAAACACTGCCTCGTAAGACGTACATAAACGACCGAAACAGTCAAAGGGTTAAAAGTTCCTCAAAATATTCCCGCCATCTACCCAATACCTCCACCTTCCCATCTACTAACTCCCCTACTCTGCTTTTAACCCTTTCATCGTTGATCCTGTAATATTACGGCTAGAGAGCCAGTGTTGGTCCTGTAATATATATACATGTATTTATATATTAACACACTGGCCGATTCCCACCAAGGCAGTGTGGCCCAAAAAAGAAAAACTTTCACCATCATTCACTCCATCACTGTCTTGCCAGAAGGGTGCTTTACACTACAGTTTTTAAACTGCAACATTAACACCCCTCCTGTAATACTACGCCAAAATTCTAGTGCCTTCAAATCTGGTGGGAGAAAGCTGGTAGGCCTACATGTGAGAGAATGGGTCTGTGTGCTCAGTGTGCACAGTATAAAAAAATCCTGCAGCATGCAGTGCATAATGAGAATAGAAAAACTTCGACCGTGGTTTTGGTTTAAAACACAGACTTTGCTGTGTATTTTTGTGTGGTATTTATGTATGTATTCTCATTTGTTTGGTCTCATTTGATAGAATGGAAGATATATTACAGAAATAGAGATGATTTGGAATGGTTTTTGGACTAAAATTACCTTGAAATTGAGCTCAAAGTAGCATAAATGTTCGAATTTTGCCGATATTCAAGAGTAAACAAATCACGCCACACATCCAATACGTATCAACTGGTGGGTCTAATATGCTTTCACAAATGCGCTGATATTATTTAAACCATTTTTACAATAATGTTGTAGTCTGCATAACAGTAAATATTCTTTTTTGTGTGAATAAAAATTCAAAGTGGAGAGCAAGCATAATATAAGAGGGGCCTGAAGACATGACTAATGAACAGAGAAAATGTTATTTTAGTGCTAGGAATGTTTGTATTGTTTATTCTGGCCCCTATTTTGAAATTGGTCTTACTTGAATCATGTATGAAATTGGCCCTCTATTACCAATTTCTGATCACTTTACTGGGTGGTCAAAATCAGTAAATAGGCAGTTTATTGTACTCAATTGATAGAACAAATGGAGTCCTAGCGAAATAGCTATGAGTTTGGTCAACTGGCACAATGGAATTGGCCGAAAATAGGGCTCAAATTGGGAAAAATTGGTGGTCCATAAATATCGCAATGAGTGGTAACTTTGAAAAAGAGTAATTCCATAAGTTTTCCATCAAATTTAATTTTTTTGGTGTCATTACCACCGGGAAAAGATTCCGTCATTTCATAAGAAAAAATAATATTTTTTTTCGAATATTTTTCAACACAAAACAAGAGTTTAGAATCAGGGGTCCCGACAGTGAAAGGGTTAACCCTTTCAGTGTCAAGACCCCTGATCCTCAACTTACTCTGTGTCGAAAAAGAAAAAAATTCTTATGAAATGATACAAGAATCTTTTCCCGATGACAATGACACTAAAAGTACGAAATTTGACGGAAAACTAACGAAATTTTGCTCTTGCAAAATTAGCGATCCCGGCGATATTTACACATTGGTGATTTCACCCACTTTGACCCTATTTTCGGCCAATTCCATTGTTCCAGTCACCTAAAAACATAGCTATTTTGGTAGAACTCCATTTGTTCTATCAACTGAGTACAAGAAACTGCCCATTTACCGATTTCAACTACCCAATAAAGTGGTCAGAAATTGGCAATTTGGCCAATTTCACACAAATTTCAAAAGATGCCAATTTCAAAATAGGGTCCAGAATAAACAAGGTAAACATTCCTGCCACTAAAATAACATTTTCTCTGTTTATTAGTCACGTCTCCAGGACCCTCTTATATTACTCTTGCTTTCCATTTTTAACTTTTATTCTCACAAAAAAATAGAATATTTACAGTTTTGCAGACTAGTGTATTATTCAAACCAAAAAATAGAACATTTACTGTTATGCAATATTGTAATAATTGTATAAATATCATCATCACATTTGTGAATGTATATTAGACCCACCAGATGGCGTGTATCAGACATGCGAGGTCGTTTGTTTACTCTTGAACATCGACAAAAATTTAACATTTCCGCTAGTTTGAGCTCAGTTTCAAGACATTTCCAGTACTAAAACCAATCAAAATCATCTCTACTTCTGTAATATATCTACCATTCTATCAAATGAGACCAAGAAATCTCAAATACAACTATAAAAAACTTACAAAAAAACACTGCAAATTCGCTGTTTTAATCGAAAATCAAGGTCTCAGTTTTTTTCTCTCATTATACACTGTGTGCTGCAGGATTTGTTTTATGTGGTGCACACATACCACATAGATGTATTCTCTCATATCTAGGCCCAAATTTATCACTCACAGCTTATCAGAGTGAGCCCTGAACATAAAGCTGTAGATCTATGGGACGGACCCTGAAAGGGTTAAACCAAAAACACGGGAGTTTTTTTCTCATTATCCACTGCATGATGCAGGATTTTCTTATACTGTGCACAC